AGGGAGAGGGGAAATAAAGAATCAGAACTTCATAACTACCAAGGAAATGGTGTGATTTGGATTTGCTTCATATAGTGTGCTATAAAAATAGAATAGGATTATAAAACATGGCTTAGGATTCCCCCTTATATTTATAGGATACACAAGCCATTTTTACATGCAACACACAACACCTCCTTTTTTTTTTTTTTTTTCATCTGGTGCTGGGATTGAACCCAGGGTCTTTCACATGCTAAGTGCATGCCCTACCACTAAGCATACTCTCCCACCCACCATCTTTAATGCTACAGTTGTGCTAAGAAATAGTTACCATAGCAATTTCAGAGACAAAGAACTGAGGCTTAGAGAAGTTGAGAACATTGATCAAGATCACCTGCAGAGCGCTGTGGTTGTAGCTTCATGGTAGAGCACACATAGTATGTGTGAGGCACTGGGTTCCATCCTCAGCACCACATAAAAATATATAAATAAAATAAAGGTTAAAATCAAACAAACAAACAAAAAAAGATCACCTGCAGAGTGAAGATTTAAACTAAGCTCAATCCAAAGTTCCAACCCTTAATTATAATACACTGTCTCAGATGAAGACCTTGTAAATACCCTGGTAAGAAGGAAGGTTAAACAGCAAGAAGTTGTGTAAACGACTACTTTTTTTTTTTTGAGAGAGAGAAGAGAGAATTTTTTTTTTAATATTTATTTTTCAGTTTTCGGTGGACACAACATCTTTATTTTATTTTATGTGGTGCTGAGGATCGAACCCAGCACCCCGCGCATGCCAGGTGATGGAATTACCGCTTGAGCCACATCCCCAGCCCCGTCTACATGTTTTTTTAATAATTTTTTTTAGTTGTAGATGGACACAATGCCTTTGTTTTGTTTATGTATTTTTTTATGTGGTGCTGAAGATCAAACCCAGTGCCTCACACATGCTAGGCAAGCGCTCTATCACTGAGCTACAACCCCAGCCCCATAAATGACTACAGATTAAACAGTCCCTGGAAATGCAGTTTTCCTAAGTGGAAGTATTTATTTTACCAGCCACCCCCACCTTTTAGGCCACTTAAGAGATTATCCAGAAAAATAGACAGTTTCCAAATTGAACAGGTGATTTAAGCCACCAAACATTGGGCATCATTGCTGACTTCTCCTGTGCTAAATTTTATTTTATTTTACTTCTTTGTTTTTTCAGTCTGGAATGGACCCCAAGGCCTCAACATGCTAGGCAAATGCTCTACCACTGAACTACATCCCAGCCCCTTTTTAAAATTTTTTATTTTGAGACAAGGTCTTGCTAAGTTTCCAGGACCAGCCTTGAACTCTCGATCCTCCTGCCTCAGCCTCTTGAGTAGCTGAGGTTACAGGAGTGTGCCACTGTGCCCAGCTAATGCTATATTTTATTTTAATTTTTCTCATTGAATGTAGATGACTTTGTTCTTTTATTCCTAAATTGAATTTTTATTTTTTTCACCATAATTGTGCACAGAGATTAAAGGTAAACCAGTGCTATAAGGCTTACAACAAAGCTCTTACGTTTTATTTTTTATTACTTTTTTCCTGATTCTGGTCCTTCAGGGATATCATTTGACTACTACACTGTAAAATCTTTTTCTTTCTTTCTTCTTCTTCTCCTTTTTTTTTTTTTTAAAGGCACAATTTAGTCGCTTTCTATTTGTTTTTTGGTTGGTTTTGGTTTTGCTTTTTACAAAAATGGTGATGATTCATTCTATAGTATTTCTTTTAAGACACTGCCAGAGAAACATAAAAATGCATCTCCTCTCTTTAAAATTAAAACTCAAACCGGCATCTCCTTTTTTTACAATCAAAAATTTTTTTTCGGGCTGGGGATGTGGCTCAAGCGGTAGCACGCTCGCCTGGCATGCGTGTGACCCGGGTTCGATCCTCAGCACCACATACACACAAAGATGTTATGTCCACCGAAAACTAAAAAATAAATATTAAAAAATTCTCAAAAAAATTTATTTTCTTATCAAAGTTATACATAAGATTTGTTTAATATGCCAAATGGTTCTAGCTAAAAGTCTGGTGCCTGCTACAGCAGGGCAAATCTGTCCTCAATAAATAAGGGAAAATCGCAACCATTTTGCTCTGAGCGAAGATGCCGGTGGCACAGGATCGCTGGGCAGTCTCTGCTTCCCCTCCTTCTAGATAGATACAAGGCGGGCAGAGTCAAATTTATAAATCCAATTACCCAAATGAGCATCTTTCCCCAAAGAGTGCATATGAATGCCTGCTTCTTGAGCCTTCCGAGTTGAGTGATGAAATATCCAATGATGCACATTTTTTATTTCTTGCCATTTGAACAAGGTGTGGGAATGCATTTCCTTTTTGGCTAGACCCTAACTAACTATGGAAATGTTCGTGCATTCCACAATTCGACTCCCCACGAAAGGCTTTGCTTTCTTCTGAACAGGAAACCCCCTAAGCCTTTCCTTGCATGATTGAAGGTGCCAGGCCTCTCTTCACTGGATAATAGGGAGTGTTTTTCATTGTGAGAGCTGTTTGGAAACACCCACCGCAGCCACCTGGCAGGATCTTCCCAATCTGGATGCAGTTCGTAGACAATGGACCCATTCTCAGTGATTTGGCCATTGTTCTAACAAAATGCTAAAGATCTTTAAGGTGATTTTTGTTCCTCTGATTTTATGGGCTGAATATGCATTGTTAGTTTTCATTATCTAGTAATAGGAGATACAGTGTAGGATCTGAATTCTTTTTTTAATTAATTGTGTTGTAAATCAAACATCTTTCTGTAGGATGCACTTACTCATCATTAGCACGTGAGAGTTTCCAGTAAAATATCTTCAGTATTATTTTTATTATTAACATATTTACACTGTCACTCCAGCCCTGCACCCTTTGTGAATCCGTTTTTAAAATAAATATGACCTGATACCAGAGTGATTGGTGCAATAAAAATGCATGATGTGAAATTAATCAAATATGGTCGGGTTCAATTTATAAGGGACACATTAAGAAAAATTATTTCTTGTTCGGGTATGCCACTCTAGTGAATCAAACAGAGCTGCGTATATTTCAGTAAGATACATGTAAAATCCATTCATTCAACCAACATTTATTATGCATTTACTGTGTGCATCATGGGGGATAAAATCAAGCTGAGCAAACAAGAAATTCACACAGGAGACAACTGAAGAACATAAGCAACTGCATAATTGTGGAATATATGTTGAATATCCAAGGATTCCAGAAACAAAAGCTCAAGTAGCAGCAGTGTGGTGCACTGATTAAGGGTGTGGGGGCTATGGATTTATTTCAGTTTTTTTCAGGAAGTGGTCATTAATTTTTGCATGAAAAAACGAGAGCAGAGAGGCATAATTCATTGTGAAGATAGGTTTTATATTCTGTATATGTGAAGGAAATAAATTTCTAATGCAATAAAACAAAGAGAATTAAAAAAAAAAAAAAGCCAAAGCCCAGCTTGGACTTAAGAGTCAGGCAGACTTGGGTTCCAAGATCTGATACTTACTAGCTGAGTAATTTGGACAAATTCTTACATTTTGTTGAGCTTTGATTTTCTTATCTTTAATATAGAGTTGATAGTATCTTCCTCATTGGATTATTGCAAGAATTAAATGAGATAATGTCTTCAGTAAGTATTCACTAAATGTCTTGTTATCCTGAAAACCAGGGCCAGTTAGAGAAGCTGTCATGGAAACCACTGTTGTCAAAGCCGGGGACAGGGATGGATTGTCCAAGGTGGTATTTTAGGTAAAGGCAGGAAGATAGGGTTGGAAAACAAGTGTTCCCCTCCTCTCTAGGAATGGGCTCTGTTTCCTTCCCACTAGAGCCAACCCTGTGGAGTCAGGTTAAGGAGTTCCCTTAGGAGCAGATGTGAGGGCTGCAAGCTTTGAAATGACAGTGGCTTAAAAATGAACTTCTAGACAGATTAGCAGGAAGACTCTACAGAGGACACCTGCGATTACCAAGCCTTCTGGATGAGGCCCTAAGCAACTCAGGGCCAAACACTGTGGTTATCTTGAGGGCTGGGCCTTCCTTTTCTTATTTGACACTGAATCCTACTGTTCAGCACAGGATCTTGTCCAAGGCAAGTAATCAATAACTCTTCTTCTTTTTTTTGGTACCTGGGAACACTTAACAACAGAGCCACATCTCCAGCCTTTAAAAAATTTTATTTAGAGACAGGATCTCACTAGGTTGCTTAGGGCCTCATTAAATTGCTGAATTGCTGAGGGTGGCTTTGAATTCATGATCCTCCTGCCTCAGCCTCCTGAGTGGCTGGGATTACAGGCATGCACCTCCCCACCCAGCCTAATCAATAACTAGTTGATGAACACAAGAATGAATATCTATGTTCTATAAAATGCAAATAATCATGATTTCTGAATCCATGTGCCTACATTTCTTCAACAACTTGTAAAACAGAATAAAAATTACCCATCAGCCTTCAAGGGCTATTGGGAAGATCAAATACATTAATACTTGTAAAGTGCCAAGAACAATGCCTAGCTCTTGGTCAGTTCTCTATCAGTATTTATTAAATAAATATTAATATGAAAGGGACACTGTGAGGATTGAATAAGAAAACAAAGACAAGTAGTGTTTGTAGAGAAAAGAAGAAAGTCACTGACAGCCCAGGTGATGAAACCCTACCTCAAGTGGGTGCAGAAGAACTAACTCCTAACTCAGTATAGTGCCATGAAGCTAAACTTTGTCTTCTCAAGTTCAGTGCGCAGTGGGTCTAGGGGAACTGTGGACCTGCTGTTCTTCTGTTGTTACTTCCCCTTCCTGTCCCCTCTGGCACCAGGTGATGTCCTTGGTCCATGACTCAGACCAGACTCTGCTTCCCTGGACTCTTCCAGGGGCCTGTGTGGACACAGCCTGTCTTTGTATAACCACAGACTATAGCTTAAGTCCTGTTTCCACTGAGATAGAGTATCTTCCTATTCCTCTCCCACCCTCATTCCTTTCTTCCTTGGAATAAAAATGCTGTGTCCTGGGGTTGAGGATGTAGCTCAGGGGTAGAGTACTTGCCTAACAAGCATGAGGCCCTGGGTTCAATCCCCAGTACCACCAAAGGAAAAAAGAAAAAAAAAACTTCCTTCTTTGTGGATCACCAAGTCCCAGAAATCCTATTACCTCCACTCACCAGAGAGGACGCTTGGCCAGCAACACCCCATGCCCTGTACTGGGCCTTCTCATGGCCACAGGATATATTATTCAGATGGCTACTGATCTTCTTTGGGACCAGCCTCCTAACTAGTTATTTCCTTGAACCCAAGCTCTTCCAACTCACTCATTCAACTCACTCATTCATTTTGTCTATTCATTAGTTCGTTCACATATTCATTTAACTAATGGCAACTTAGACCCTCTTTCTCTGCCCAGCATGTAAGGCCAGGGCCACTGATATCGTTCATACAATACCTTTGTGCTTGCAGAGCTCACAGCGTAGTCTGAAAAAGACATAACTGACAACACAGAGTAATTAAGTGCGAAGATAGAAATGTACACAAGGTCAGAGAGACTGGGGGAGACTTGCTCTTGTCTGGGAGAAGTAGGGAGGGGTTCACAGAAACAGTGACTTCTGAGAGGAGTTTTCAGGGAGGAAGAGGGTAGGACCAGAATCATTTCAGACTGAGGGGTGAAACCTTAAGGGCAGGGTTGTAGTATGATGTGTGAGAGGAACCTGGAGTGGTAGGCAGAGGTTGGATAAAGGAGGGAGGGGATATAAGGGGAGGGGCTTGAGTTTTACTTTTTTTTTTTTTTTTTTTAAAGAGAGAGAGAGAGAGAGAGAGAGAGAGAGAATTTTTTAATATTTATTTTTCAGTTTTTTTTTGGCGGACACAACATCTTTGTTTGTATGTGGTGCTGAGGATCGAACCCGGGCTGCACGCATGCCAGGCGAGCGCGCTACTGCTTGAGCCACATCCCCAGCCCCAATTGAGTTTTACTTTTAAAGGAGAGGAATGTGGCGGATCCTGTGTTGTCTTCCAGACCTCTTTCAGAGGAGTCTGCAGTGCAGGCAGAGGGGGACGGAGCTTGCCCTGTCCTTGGGAGTGCCGTCTGGAGGCAGTCTTCAGCTCACAGGCCCCTCTAGGATTGCTTGCTGCAGAGAGCCACCTTGTCCAAAGTCATGCCCTTCTCTGTCAGGGCAGCCCAGATCCTTTGACTGATGGATGCAAAAGAATAAAGGCAAATACCTCTTGGCTCAATTCAGGAGAACTCAGAAGACCCATTCTGGTTCCAAGGCTTTCTGTGGGGTTGGCTGAGGCTGTCACTGATCTGTACTAAATCTTACCTTGCCCTTCCTACTTCCTCTCCCCTCTCTCTTAGATATTTCTATCAAGGGCAGCATTACCCAGGGCATAAACTGGGCCTCCTCTAATTCTTCAGGACTGCATTCATGGGAAGACCCCTCTCCAACTCTCCTACTGCGGTCTCTGTGAGCCATTTAAACATTCTTAGGTCTCTTTCAGATCTTCCTGAAGTTCCCAACCCTACATGCCCTTCAAACTCCTTCCCCTTTCTCTCTTCTCCTTTAGGACCGGATTTCTCCAAATGACCGGTCTACCCCATTCTGCAGTCCTTCCTGCCATTCATTCCTTTGTCAACATCGTTCCAGCCTGGGGTTCTCATGAGGTCACTAATGCTTGCCACATCATTCAATCCACACCTTAGGCTGTAACTCAGTGGCACTTCCCTCCTTCCAATCCTCTTGGAGTACGTGCTGCTCTGCTTTGCTCTCTCTCCTGCCCCAGAGTCTCCTTTGGGACTTCCATGTTCTTCATCTTTTAATCACTGGTGCTCTATTGTGGGCCCCTGTTTTTCTTGGTTCTCACACTCTTCCTGTAGGATCTCATTCACTGTCGTGACTGCTAATGCCAATGAAATGCTAAGAATTCCTAACTCTCTCTCTTTTCTAGAAAAGACCTCTCCATGAGTTTACATCTCCACCTGCCCAGTCGCACCGCAGACTCCACTTAACCACAACTCCTCAAACTTGCCGCTCCCTCCTCAGTATGTCCACCTCTGCCCCAGCACCTCCCTGTTACACCCCACCCAATCGCATCCTGGAACTTAACTCTTTCCCTAACTCCTGTCTCCCTTGCACCTCTGACTAAGCTTTAAGTCATCTGCTCCAAACTCGGTTGTGGGAGACTAGTCAAGACTGCGGGGATCTTGAATGACTGCCTGATGCCATGGGAACCAGAAATCGGAACCCTGGGAACTGTCCTGCTGCAGGCCTGCCTCCTATCACCCTACTTTTTTCCAGGCTGTGCTGTGACTTCTGGAAGCTTCTGTCTACAGTGGCTGTCTCTACTTCAGTTGGCTAATATGACCATCCCAGAAATCTGGGGCTTACACATGCCTCAATGCAAGCAGTCAGCAAACAAATCAGCATCTTTCAGGTGCAAGGGCAAGGCTCCAGAAGACAGACATCTTGGTTAAGGGCCCACTCCTGGTCCAGTGAACTCAGGCCAGGAGAGCTGGCCTATGTGGTAGGATGGCCATAAACACTCACTGGGTAGGAGTGAGGTTTGGAGGAGAGTGGCTCATGGGCTGGGCAACTATTTAAGATATGATTTTTTTTTTCTTCTTTTATGGTACTAGGCATTGAATCCAGGGACACTTAACAACTGAGCCAAAATCCCCAGCCCTTTCTATTTTTTTTTTTTTTTTTTTTTTTGAGACAGGTGTCTTTAAGTTGCTGAAGCTGGCTTTGAACTTGTGATCCTTCTGCCTCAGCCTCCGGAACAGCTGGGATTACAGGCGTTCACCAACGCACCCAGCCTGGACAACTATTTAAGATGTGATTTTTACTGTCCCAAATAATCTCAAATAACAAAAATTCCCAAGGGTTATAAAATTTAAGTTTACACTAATATCTAAGTTTTTTGACTGTCTTCCTATCTTACAGTTTGGTGAAACATCATTTAGTAATTCATTTCACCTCATCTCCAACCCATTGTGCTAATTAATAGCAACATGGGGGCGGGGGCTGTAGTTTAGTGGTGGAGCTCCCGCCTAGCAGCTGGAGGCCCTGGATTTAATCCCTGGTGGTGGTGGAGGTGGGAATTGGCATGAGAGGAAGAATGCTATAAGGAAAATATCCTATGAGATCGTTTCTAAAAATAAGATCTTAATATACATAAAATCAGTATTCTCCTCTATAACCCAAAGTTATTAATTATAACAATGAAAGACCTTTTGACTCTATTTTAATTATTTCTGCAGTTAAATCTGACCTAGAAATTCAAAATGGAAGAGATAATCAAAAGCATCAACCAGTTACTTCTGATAAAAGGAAGTTTGTAACTGAGGCGTAAGTTCTTAGGAAATAATATCACCAGGAAATCTTTGATGGCCCCCTTATGGGTAAAAAATAATAATAATAATAATAATAATTTTAGAAAATTTATTTTCAGATCTGTATATTGTAACAAATTTCTTAGAGAAACTTTTACTTTAAATCAGTTTAATTGTGAGTCTAGAAAAGAAACAGGTCTAGGAGATGAACCTAGTGCTGACAAGAAGCTGGTGAGATAAAAAGAAATATACTGAGAGACCATTTATTTTTAAGAAATGAAATTCTGGATTTAGCACCAATGCACTAGCTTTAAAAAAAAAATCTCTCTAGGCACTGTTCAGGAGCTATTTAGATCTTGTCTGAAGTTTTTATGTGTTTTAAACAAAAGCATATTCCTTTGTTTTGAGATAGTGATTTTTTTGATGCCCCATTTATTCATTTATTCAACAAGTATGTTCCTGGCACCAATTATATGCTAGGTGTTTAGGTTATAAAGTTGAATGTCAAAAGTCCTTTTCTTCAGGGAGCAGAATATATAGGGTACATTCCTGGAAGCTACATTAAAAGGCATAGATTTACCCCTTTGCACTGCGGGTGGGGAAGGTAAAATGGTATGGCCACTTTGCAAAAGGGGATGGCAATTCCTCAAAGACTTAGAGTTCCCGTAGGGCCTAGCAATTCCACTTGTGGATGAAAACCTCCAAATTGAAAGCAAACCTTTAACTGGCCATTCCTGTTCCAGCATCATTATTCAAAATAGCCAAAAGGTGAAAGCAACCCAAGTTTCCATTGCGGATGAATGAATAAACACATGTGTATGTACTTACAATGGAACATTATTTATTCTCTCTCTTTTGGTACCAGGAATTGAACCCAGGGGCAGTTAGCCACTGAGTCACATACCTAGCCCTTTTTTGTATTTTATTTAGAGATAGGGTGTCACTGAGTTGCTTAGGGTCTAAATTGTTGAGGCTGACTTTGAACTGGTGATCTTCCTGTCTCAGCCTCCCCAGCCACTGGGTTTACAGGCGTGTGCCAATGTGCTGGCAGAACATTATTTACTCTTGAAAAGGAAATTCTGAGACATGATCCAATATGGATGAACTTTAAAGTAATATAAGTCAGTTACAAAGGTAAAAATACTGTATGATTCCATTTACATGAGGCCCTTAGAGTAGTCTGCGTCTTAGGGACAGAAGGTATTGCGGTGGTCGTCAGGGGCTGGGGGAAGGAGGCATTGGGGAGTTGGTGCTTAGTGGTTACAGAGTTTCATCTTGGGAGGATGAAAAAGTTCTGAAGATGGATATGGAAATGGTTGCACAACAGTGTAAATGTAACTGATGTCACTGAACCACACACTTAAAATGGTAAATTTAGTGTTATACGTATTTTATCACAATTTTTATTTTTTTCTTTCCACATTAAAAAAAATTGTTTTTCTTTTTTTATGGTACCAGGGACTGAACCCAGGGGTGTTCAATCTCTAAGCCATATTCCCAGCCCATTTTTATTTTTAATTTCGAGACAAGTTCTCACTAAGTTGCTGAGGCTGGCTTTGAACTTCCGATCCTCCTGCTCAGTCTCCAGAGAGCTGCTGAGAACACAGGTGTGCCCTACAGTACACAGCCCTACATTTTTCTTATTGGTGCATTATAGTTATACAAACTGACGGGATTTGTTGTTACGTGTTTGTACATGCACGCAATATCCAATATCACCATATAATTTGGCTAGTATCACTCCCTAGCCCTTCCCACTTCCCTCC